ACCTTTTAACAAAATAAATTGATCTATATGTTTCGGTGTGACGGACTGACTTTCAAAAAATCCTAGTCTTGCAAAATTTTCGCCGCATTTTATGTTTTTGACAAACGTTTTAATCAAACAGCCCAGACACTTAAACAAAAAATCCACGCCAGGATTGTTAATGACAACAACTTTAGTCCTATCTTTTAGGGTTAATCCCATAATGTTGTTACACTGTAATATGTTGTTATGTTAAGTGGATCTTTTTTAGCCTCTTGCTTTAACCCATTAAGTTGTTACATGTAATAACCCTTCCAAAGCCTGATCAACAGAAATATTTTTTCTAGCATTACCAAAACACAATCAAGAGAAAAGGTTACTAGAAGTATTAAAATAATCTCTTATTTAGAGAAAATATTTTGATCTTTTATCAAATTCTTTTAACTAATTTTAAAAGAAATGTATAGAGATCTGCCTGGAGAATTTGCATGTAAATTATAGTGCGCGATTCCCTAGGCTCATTCCCCACAGTAGCCTTATCATTCAGGTAAGCTCGCCATTTATGGCGAACAAAGCGAGCAGCGAAGCCCCTCGCACTCGCGCCTGTCCTAAATGGAGAGCTTGCTCGCAGGCAGCAGTCGCAGGCTGCAGTCGCCGCCTGCGAGCAAATTCACTGGTTCAGGGGCTCGTGATTCAATCAATCAATCACCTTTATTTAAACACTGAATTCCATTCATAAAAATGCTCTTCCAGAGAGCCGTGTAAAAATCATGTAATAAAGAAAAAAGATAAAATATAGTTATTAAATGGTACTTAATTACAAATGTGAGATAAATGACTTCAAGCTTGTCTGTCCTTTATCAGTGTTTGATGGACTATTCCAGGGAACCGCCCCCCTATAGAAGAAGCTTTTTTTTCTAACCTCGGTAAACAGTCTTGGTGCAAACAAATTATGTGTGGAGTTTCTTAGATTATAGGAATACGTAGAGTGTGTTGAATTTTAGAGGCTGACAGTTTTTTTTTTATTGAAATGAAATGTTTCTAATTCGAATAAATTTTTCTTAGTTAAGAATTGTAAATAGCGTTTTGAATGAATAGTTTTTTCTCTTTTTCAAGCGAATTAATTGTAAATAGGATTTTAATAGTTAGCATTGTTGTCAATAAAATTTTTTCATTATACGTATAGTGTGTAGTATTAAAAGTTTGAGCCAAATGATCTGGTGCAATGTGATTTTTCAATTTATACATTATTGTGGCTAATTATTTGAGCGTAGCCTAAATAGAGTTATCGAGACCACTTGTTTTGATTCAAAGTTGCAATAGGCACGCAATACATCACCGCTCTCGGAACCAATCAGATTGTATGATTTGCACAACACGAGCCCGCTCTCAATTTTTTTTAAAAGTAATAAATACAGCATTACCCCTCCGCTGTTGATTTACCTCCAAGCTACTGCATGAGAATCTACAACCATAGTTACTAACCGTGCTAAAGTCATTCAGATTTAACCACGAGATTCTCTTAAGTTCACGTGTAAGAATGCGAATAATACTAATGATAGTATTAGATGAAAGACTGACCGCATATTTTCTCGTAGTTCCTACTGAATTAATGTTGCCTGTGTCTAATGTAAACAGTCACTGGTGGCTCGACTTTTTGCCGTTTTGCAGGCCATTGTCGGCTATCAATTAGCAGCGGCTCCCTGACCACAGCAATTCTATTGGGGGCCTTAACGTACGGTGTACCGGGGAGGGCAGTCTATTACTACGATTAAAACATTGATAGGGTCACTGGTGGAGTATCTTATGGTGAAACGAAAGACCCGAGAGAGGTTAGCCTGTCCCAGGTTTCGAGATAGTAGCCCGGGAGCTGGGGAGAGAGATTTTTCCCACCACCCCCCTTCCAAGATCGCGTGCGTCTTATTTTCGCTTAGCTTGTTTTATTTTTGTGACGTCCTTACTATCCGAGAGTTTGGCACAGGCTAGAGAAAGGTCAGAGATCTACCGGACACAGGGATCCCACCCTTATGAAGGTAATACTTCAGTTTTAGCAAATGCTTTCGTCAAATCGCGAAATTTGCCTTTACCATTGTGGCAGAAATAAGTAACAATAATAGAGAGTCTAAGCATCACGATTACGTTAAACGGAAAACGCGAAGTTGTACCACATGACCGAGTTTCCCCTTTATTTGTCGTATTAGTAGTTTAATGCGATTTCATCCATAAGAATTGTTCTGAACTATTTTTATTTTTATTTTATTTTTTTTTGCCTTGTTTTAGGGATAGGGAATCTGTTAAAGTATTCACAACAATGACTATGCATAGTTAACCTCATTTACCTGCTAGTCTGCAAGTCTACAGTCTGCCTTTGTCGCACACCACATGGCTTTAACCCCCAGGCTTACAATATTATGATTCCATTTTTGTTACCTTGTAGGCAAGTCCCCAAATGGCTGGTCGACCAATAAAGACAGCTCGTGCCCCCAAGGCCAGTGCCTCGAATACATCTGTACCCAGTCTAATTCCACCATCAACATATACTTCTACTTTTCCATTAACAGCATCCACTATCTCTGGCAGAACATCAATCGAGCAAAAAAATATATTGTTAAGATTTATCAGTAAACAACAACTTACAATAAAAAAAGAAACACTTTATTTACGCTCTACCCCTGAAAAACCATGGCCAACAATGATAATGACAATATGTAATTATTAATGCACTCTGTATGTTTTGTGTTGCTATGTAGGCCTTAATTTGTGATGTTCTCAAGGGACCTTAAATTATCCTTAGTAATTTGTTAAAAATTAGTTACATTTGCTTGTGCCCAGAGACAAGAAAAAACTGAAAGAAATTGACAGCCCTCAAGAGTTATCACATGTAAACTACACTGGAAAAACAAAAAATACAAACTAAAAGGTTCATTACACACTTACAGTGGCAGGAACACAGTCTAACTGTCTTCCTCCATGATTGGATACAATAATTCCATCAACTCCATGTTCAACAGCCTTTCTGGCATCATCTGCTGTCAAAATCCCTTTGACAAGAACTGAAGCTTGGTGATGCTCTTCAACCAGTCAATGGTTTCAAAGGTGATTGATTTGTTAACTAAAGCATTTGCAAAATTATCAAATGCAAAGCCAGAACCTAATGTTGTTTGTTCTTCACAAAATCAGATGATCTCTTGGCATCTGCCATTTTTGCTGGATCAACGTTAGGAATACTCATGAGATGAGGTAACAGAACAGGCTGATTCCTGACATCATTCTGTCTCTTTCCTCTCACAGTTGCATCAAAAGTCATGACAATTGCTTTATATCCTTCTTTTTCTGCATGTTTAACAATCTTTTTTGTCATTTCTCGGGAGTTCAGTACATAAAGTTGCATCCATTTAACTGACTCAGGACCGGAGCCATGGTTGCAACATCCCCTAGTGATGTGGATCCTACACAACTGAGTATCATGCAAGTCCCAGCCTTAGAAGCCGCTGCAAAACAATATTTAATAATGAGTCAATAGCCTATTCGGCCTTCGGCCTCATGGGCTATTGACTCAGAGGCCATTTATAATAATAAATTGATTATTGTTTTAGTAAAGTTCAACTAGTTGGTCAGAAATATCAAGACAAAACAACTTTAGCTACATGTAGCAAAACGCGATTCAGCTGCCATTGTTTTGGTTTTCAAAGCCAATGCTTTTGCTACTAGTGTGCCATATTATAACATAATTATAGCTTAGTAGTAACTCAACCAATCAGAATGCAGCATGTTAATAGACCACTAGTTGGATTTTACTTAAATCTGTTATTATACATTGAACACATTATCATTCTTCTCTGAGAGCCTACTAACAATTAATTCTGGAAATCAGTGCAACTTACAGATTAGCCAGTTATGTGCTAGCAGATACCTGACTAATCTGTAGGTTGCACGGACAATGCATGTCAAACTGCAGTCCATCCGATGCTGTGTTCGTCAAGCTCCCTGTACAAAACTTTGGTGAATACCACCGCCCCCGCCCCCCCCCCAAAAAAAGAGGGTTTCATTTTTCGACAACCTAAAGAAATGTAAAAAGGACCCCCAGCAAGGCTATAAGTAGCTTGCATACTAATATTACCTTTTGCAGTGGCTTGCTTACCATCAGGGTGGGCAAGTTTTTGAGTTGCTGTTGGTGCAATACCAATTGGTAAGGTAACTTTTTCTCCAAGAATTGTGGTTGAAAGGTCCACTTCTGAAATGCCGCAAAGAACTCGTGGTCGTATCCTCAGCCTGAAATTCAGTTGTACATGTACATGAGCCTTAAAAAATCCTAGCATTGTTTCTCCATTCTGTTCCTGTTTTCTGGGCCCTTTAAGTTCACGCATGTCTCACTGCTGCACTGTATTTGACCAGGACGGACACATACAAAACAACACATGGACCCCTGGTCCATGGACAAGTCATGTGGACCTAGTCCATGGACCACCCCCATGGACCACCCTTACTGTTTTAAGATGAACTTTTATCAGAGGTCTAAACAAATGTTAGGAACCTTAAATGGATGAAACTGTGTCAATTTTTAGTTCGTTACATGTATATTTACATTATTGTTATTTTTAGTATATTATTGCTCAAATTTTTCCTGAATTCCATTCATGGGTTTGGTTTCGTCAGGAAGGAGAAACAACATTTGAAGGGGGCAGGAGGAGACCTCTGGTTAAATTCATCTCAAAAAATTAAGGGTGGCCCACAGGGGTACTTCATGGACCAGGTCCACGAATGGGTCTATGGACTACGTCCACAGGGGTAGTCCATGTAACGTTATTGAGAGGAGAAACAGGCAAGAATACATCAACACAACGGCTAAATCGAGCAAGAACAATATTACATCGAGCACATGGTAAAACCAGCCCACCCACTAAGACTGATGTACGGGAACTACACGATTTTATCACAGGGCGTCCATGTTTTGTATACGTCCAACCACGACCTAGGGTCTTGACTCTCATGCAAACGATAATGATCAAAAGAACGTTGCTTTAGTAGCTCACTGTTGATGTCCAATTCCCCCTCCACCACACACACAACTCCAGAAGCATGTAAGAAAACAAACAAATCAATAACCGCAGCTGGTCTAAAATACAGGTCACTTTTCGACATGTCAGAGTACAGGTCACGCAACATGATATAGATAAATAAATAGCTTTAAAAGTGTCTCCTAGCCCAAATCTCTTAACAGAATGCTGTATTAGGTCGATGGGAAGCTGTGTGGTTAATTTATCGATGGAGCAGTGACCAGTATAGTAGTAGTCCTGACCTGTGGAATGTGACCTGTACTTTACACCCGGTCCCAGCTGTTCTCGCCCCATGTTCTCGCACCTTTTCAATGCCTCCAGGTTTTCTCTTATGGTAGTTTCTTCGTTTGCACCTCTTGCAAAAAACTCAAATGCATAATATGGCAAGTATTCCCTCGCGTAACTCTCAAAATCTTTCAAACAAACAGGTTCCGCCAAGGAATCCGCCATATTTACTGCACTGAAAACTTCGCTCTGCAAGGTCCCCTCTAGGCTCCAGTCAGTCGGTCTCCAGCGGACTGTCTCTCCAGCCTTGGGTACTCCCCACGGGACGCATCGATCGGTCTCGTCACGCAACGCCTCCTCCCTAAAGCGTTGCGTGAAATGCAGTACCGAAAGACCTCCCGTGGGAAATTTAGATTTACAACCTATTACTTAAGGCAAACTACACATGGGTGCATTTTTCTATTAAAATATTTGCGTGTAAACATGGGCAGGGCGGCAGTGAGATATGTTAGGGTCGTAGGCCCGAGCCCGGAGTTGTAGCGACACTTGCATCGCGTGACTAGATGTCAGATGCATGTGACTCTTGCAATATGGCGTCTACTGAGGAAAGGGCTTTCAAGCTCGATGTCAACATTACCAAATTAGAGGATTCTTCGCCAGTGTTTTTCAAAGCCGATGGCGAGAGATTTAAGGAGGTTCAGACCCTGAAGTTACAAGTTGATACAAAGTACAGACTGTCCTTCGAGTTTCGGCCAGCAATGGAAGTCAGGTAAGTATTTGTTTATTACCAAATAAGTCTTCACTCTTAACAGAGTATTGCAGACTGGTTTAAACAATAATAACAATAATTACTAATCAATATGTAAGATTACATAGGGATTGCCTAAATGAACATGGCGATTTCTAGTGGGAGATTGTTCCACTGTCCAATTGTCATCCTAGCTAGGGTAAAAAGAGTTCTTGTAATAATCACATGTACAACGTGGCTGCTCAAATCGATGACTGAGAGACGAGATCCTNCTATTAAAATATTTGCGTGTAAACATGGGCAGGGCGGCAGTGAGATATGTTAGGGTCGTAGGCCCGAGCCCGGAGTTGTAGCGACACTTGCATCGCGTGACTAGATGTCAGATGCATGTGACTCTTGCAATATGGCGTCTACTGAGGAAAGGGCTTTCAAGCTCGATGTCAACATTACCAAATTAGAGGATTCTTCGCCAGTGTTTTTCAAAGCCGATGGCGAGAGATTTAAGGAGGTTCAGACCCTGAAGTTACAAGTTGATACAAAGTACAGACTGTCCTTCGAGTTTCGGCCAGCAATGGAAGTCAGGTAAGTATTTGTTTATTACCAAATAAGTCTTCACTCTTAACAGAGTATTGCAGACTGGTTTAAACAATAATAACAATAATTACTAATCAATATGTAAGATTACATAGGGATTGCCTAAATGAACATGGCGATTTCTAGTGGGAGATTGTTCCACTGTCCAATTGTCATCCTAGCTAGGGTAAAAAGAGTTCTTGTAATAATCACATGTACAACGTGGCTGCTCAAATCGATGACTGACAGACGAGATCCTGGTGTGCATTCTGCTCTCATGTTCTTCTGAAGCTTGTCGCATTTGTAAGTGGCTGATTTATTACTCTGTTTGTACAGCATACAGAGACGTACGTCAGATCGCCTGCTGAGCTCCAGAGATTTCCGTTTGAGAGATAACATATCAGTGACACTGTCTTATCTGTCGTAGCCCCACCCAGCGAGCTGCTCGGCGTTGAATCATTTCGACCTGTTGTATGTTCTTAGCTACGTAAGGGCCCCAGACAGTGGCACTATTTTCAACAGTCGGCTCACAAGTATGATTATGATATTGATATTCAGTGATAATCCTTTCAAGTACGTTAAAAGGCTGCCACAGTTCAAACCAATACATAGAGGATACTACACGGTCGCGCGAAGGTATAAATTTTATTTTCGTAAAATTCATATCTTCAAGCTGCCGTGTAATGTTCTTTTAATTATCTAGACAAAAAGACATCAATAAAATAATAGAGGGAAATGACTGAAATTATGTCATCGATAAACTCATGTGTGAGATTATGGAAAATAAACCACTCGGGTCCTGGATGTAGTTTTTATGAATTTTACAAGTGGTATATTTTCCAGTAAAACACTCGTAGCTATATGATAAAATGTATAGTTTAAGTAAAATATTTTTTTTGCCGAATTTGCATGAAAAAGAGTTGTGGTCCAGAGGGGAATGCTTTTGTTTTTGGCCAGCTGCAGCATGACCAGCATGATTTCAGCTGAAAACCAGCAAAATTATTTTACAAGCTTCAGTGATGGATTTCACGTTGATCGGGGCAGCGATTCCACAACCTGGGCTCACAGTTAAAGTCGTTATTTGAAGAACAGTAAAAAGTCACTGAAGAAAAAAGTCAAGTGGCAAAATTTTGATCATGCCTAAAAATTTGTGGATTTGTTTTATAAAAAAATCAAGTCTTCCATTAATGAAATACTAAGCTTACGGTCTATTTTTCTATGATTTCATAAAGATTCTTCCCAAGAGGGGCCGGTACAAAACCCAGACTCAGATCACTCCATTTACATACTTACCAGACAATAAAAACCATTGTCTTCCCTGCATGTAAATGAGTTGATCCGTTTGAGTGCGACTCAAGGGTAACATGGAGAGGGTCGAGGGTACTACACCCTGTATGTCGAGGGTCGATTTCTTATGTTTTCTATGTTTTATTATTTTTTTCACACTTTTTAAGCAATTGAGGAGTGCCTTACATGCACAAAAGTTCAGTTTTTATTAGTGGCGACTCTAAGTGTTGACAGATGCATTGTAATAACACTACTAATTCAGAAGAAAAGAGTCCAACCTTTGGTCAAGGTATTTAGGAAAAATACACTGAAAATAATAAACGTTCTTCTGATAGACAAGAGACCTTTATCTCGTTTATCCACAGTCCTGACTAGCTTGTCATGCAATGCATGTTTCAATCACTGGTTGAAACATTTGTGGGTTAGTTATTGCTCTAGTGGAGTGATTAGGGGGTGGTCTGATTAATTTTTTTTTCCCGAAAGATTTTACCTTGAATGATTTTTTTTTTGGGGGGGGGGGCGGATTTCACTCCCTCCCCCAACTTCTAATGGTCCACCCTTTATCACGATATTACTGAGTGTTAATTGAGCTATAGTGGGACTTGTTATTTAGCTTATAAGTAAAATAAGTATACTCTAAACACCAAAAATAAAATCCCTTGAAAATCGTGAAACATTTCAACACACTTTAAAATACATACCAGTATTAAAATTGATAATTTCTCTCTACCCGGACAACCAAGTGCGTGAACAGCGGTCATTACATCCAAGATCGCAGAGATAACTCATGGACCAATCATTTGTTATTTTAACAAAGTGTGCCTTGCAGCCTTGTTTTTCTTGAAAAAATTGCATCACTCAAGCAACACCCTGTCTTGCGAATTGAGCTGTCTGTTTGGATTTTTTCTTTGTTGTGATTCAAGCAAATAATATTTTTTGTGTTTTTTGCATAATGCTTTAAGTATCATGACGCGTGAAAAAGCTCAACCACAGTTGACGTAAATTTGCTGCACATTTTCGCATTAATCAGTGGCAGATCCAGTGGAGGTCTGGGCCGCCCCTTATTTTTAGACCAAACTGAGGCCTGAAGGGCCAAAAAATGTTTTTGGAGTCCACCCCCTTTATCTCAGGGTCAGGATGACCTGGCGCCCCCTTATCTGTAGGTCTGGATTCGTCGGATCCATCACTCTTAATTGTGCAGGTAATGTGACGTTTTTTTGCAAAAGATTTTTTTACTCTGTTTTTTTGGAATCGAAAGTCCCTGATTTGTCTCGTTATTTTCTTTTTTAATTTGCCATGATTAGATAAAATAAAACGGGGTAAAGGTCATTTGTCTGTGGGGGGGAGGGGGGGGCTTATTTTTAGTGTATTTTTGTTAAATAACTCAACCAAAAGTTGGACTTCTTTTCTGGGTCAGCCCTTTTTAAAACTGAACTTTTGCATGGTTGACGCTCTTTGCTCACTTTGCACTTTAGTATATTTTCTTAAATACCTCAAGCAAAGGTTGTGCCCTTTTCTTTTAGAAGTACCCTTTTATTACAATGAACTGTCTACACTCTTTATATTAAGGGGTCAGTGCTAATAAAAACTGAACTTTTACGAGTGTGGCACTCCTCGCTCTCTTAAAAACGTGAAGCAGATCTTAAAAAAGGAACATAAAAAAAATGAGCCATGTACATAAAAACTTGACCCCTGACAAGTTCCCCTTGACCCTTGTTCCTCGGACTTGAGCCTTTCTTTTCAATGGTACTGATGTTTTGACTGTAGGGGGTGGGGGGAGGTGTATGTTTTTGGCCATGAATTGATTTTAAACATAAAAATATATAAAATATGATCATAATTTCATGCCCAGAAGTCGAAGCCAATACTTGAAATTTAGCAATTTGTGTATAAATCTAGATCTGTACCTCTCCTCTCTGACAGTTATTCAGTTTGGCTCAACAGCCATCTCTTCAACGGCCAGTTTTTTTTCGACTTGCATGCACATTTGTCT